GTATTAGGGTATATTTTCATTGGTTTATACATTATCTGGCTAGTTTGGAGCATTGGGCATCGGTTTGAGGTGCTAGAGTAGCGTTGGAGCCAGTTATGGAACTTCGGAGCGAGGTAAGTCTCCTTTCTTACCTTGTAAGGGGGAATTTACCCCATAGATGAAATAAATCAATATGTGCTCCTATTTGTGGGGGTTACGCGCATGAGGTGACGAGAGTCCGTGCGTAGCTACTATTATGCTTAAGTCCGGGTAGTCTAGGACCCAAAAGCATGCTCTACTTGTAATATTTGCAACCTTGTTGTCAATTTAAAATGATTAAATCATATCGAGCTTGGAAAATAAATTTTCTGAAAAGCTAAACATTATTTCTTGACTGTTAAAAGAGAAATTGCCATTTCCTTGGGAAATTCCCCCTTGATGAATTCTCGATTGACTGTTTGAATGTGTTTATCTTTGTGGAACGGGTCGAACGCCGCGGCAGATTAAATAGATACATCTATGGTTCGCGCCATTCGACTCTCTGGCAGTGCACAGTTTAAATATTTGTTGGATCAGACCGTACGACCTCGGCATGATTTGTGCATGACTTTATTGATTGTTTTGGAATTATTGATAATTGATATGGCTTCATTGGCCAGAGATATAAATTGTTAAAAGATGAAAATAAATTTGGGAATCCTTTATTAACAATAGAATTATTTACCTGCCTCATGTTATTGTGTTTACCGTTGCCTCATAAAATTCATAATTCATCATATCATTGATATATTAATTATAGCCCATAGTAAGTGTCTGAGTCGACCCCTCGTCACTACTTCTTCGAGGTTAGGCGGGATACTTACTGGGTACGCATTGATTTACGTACTCATACTACACTTGTTGCACATTTTTGTGCAGGTACACATACGTTTAGCGGCCTTGTAGGCGCAGAGGCGCGATTATGGCGGGGATTTAGGTGAGCTGCATTCTATACGACGCTCCGCAGCCAACAAAGTCTCCTTCAGAGTACTTACAATTTTCCTGTCCAATTTGTATTCCGGACAGCTGTTGTATTTTATTTTACATTCCTAGTTAATGCTCATACACTTGTGACACCGGATTTTGGGATGATTATGGGTTGCACTATATTGAAATTTCTTTTTTAAAGATATTATTATGTATTTTGTAAACTCCATCTTATACTATTTAATTGAGGGAAAAAACTATAATTTCAAAAATATTAAAATAAGAATTTACTAATTATTGGTGTTGGCTTACCTGACAGTAGTGTCCGGCGCCATCACGACCTTTCAAGGATTTTGGGTCATGACACCTGTGAATAGTATTTAATCGTATTAGTCTTTTCTAAGTGTTATGCTTTTCAAGTCAAATCAAGTTTAGCCAACTTATTTACCAAAACAAGTTAAAATAACTAAAAGTCTTAAAAAGATACTCAGTTCAAAATATTACGACCATGGCAAAGACAAATAAATTAAAAGTAAAGGGAGATAAAGGAGCTTCCTTGATTTCTTTTCGATTCTGGCCTCATTTCGTTTTTCTTGGCTTCTCAAGGTTTCTCTCATATAACAAAGACAAGATTATGGCAAAGAAAATGTTCTTTTTCATGATAGGAGAAAACTTTCATTGTCGAAATCATGGGAGTGATTTTTTATCATTGCAAAATATATTAATACATACTNTATATAATACAAACATGCAATTATTATTATTATTATTTTACTTTTTATATATAAAACAAACTAATTTTATTACATATATTTACTAAAAAGGAAATATTATATGTTACTACTAATAATTAATTAAAATATTAAAGAGAAGGGAAGAAAATAGTTCTGAGTTTAACGTCGTCAGCTCGACTTATTTTAAAAATTAGGCAAAAAGGATTGTTGAAGCTTGTTTGTCGAAGAATCTGCTGATATAAGGGTTCAAACGATGATCGTTTACTTTGAATTTGTCTCCCCCATTTGCATGTTGTACTTCAATGGAACCATAGGGGGTCACTCATGTTACTGTATATGGTCCTGTCCAGCGTGACTTAAACTTTCTTGGGAATAATCTCAATCGGCTATTGTACAACAGAACTTGATCTCCAACTTTAAAATCTTTATGGCGGATGAGCTTGTCATGCCATTTTTTATCTTTTCCTTGTACAATTTAGCATTTTTCGTATGTTGTAAGTCTGAACTCTTTCAACTCATCAAGCTGTAATAGATGATTTTTACCTTCATCTGGCAAGTTTAGATTCAACAATTTTATAGCCCAATATGCTTTATGTTCTAATTCCACATGTAAATGACAAGTTTTTTCAAAAATTAGTCTATAAGTAGATGTGCCTATGGGAGTTTTGAAAGCAGTTCTGTATGCCCATAAAGCATCATCTAACTTTAAAGACCAATCTTTTCGAGAAGAACCAACAGTTTTTTCTAAAATTCTTTTTAATTTTCTATTGGATACTTCAACTTTCCTGTTTTATGAGTTACTCCATATCTTGACAATAAACTAGCGAATTGTCTATTTATAAAATGAGTTCCTTGATCACTTATTATAACTCGTGGAGTTCCAAATCTAGAAAAAATATTTTTCTTGAGAAAAGCACAAACAATATGAGCATCATTTTTTCTAGTAGCAATTGCTTCTACCCATTTTAAAACATAGTCAATAGCTACCAAAATATATTCATAGCCGTTTGAAGGAGGAAAAGGACCCATAAAATCAATGCCCCATACATCAAAGATTTCACACACAAAAATAGAGTTAAAAGGCATTTCGTCCCTTTTTGAAATGTTACCGATTCTCTGGCATTTATCACAAGTGGCGACATAATTCCTTGCATCTTTGAATAGCGTAGGCCAAAAAAATCAACTTCAAGTACTTTAGCTGCTGTCTTTCTTCCTCCACGGTGTCCTCCTACAGCCCCATCATGGCAGTGACCTAAGATATTGTTCATTTCTCTATCCGGTACACATCTCCTGATTATGTCATCTGCACAAAATTTAAACAAGTAAGGATCTTCTCAGTAATAATGTCTTGCTTCTTTTTTAAGTTTTTTTCTTTTGTTCATAAGAAAAATCTTTTGGAATCCATCCTCCAGCCAAGTAGTTGGCAATATTAGCAAATCAAGGTGGTCGATTTATAACGGTTGTGACTAAAAATATATGTTCGTCAGGAAATTCCTCTTTGATATCTTTTATCTCAGTAGGTGCATTTTCCAAACGAAACAAATGATCAGCTACCTGATTCTCAGAACCTTTTCGATCTTTTATTTTAAGATCGAATTCTTGCAAAAGGAGTATCCATCTTAGTAATCTTGGTCTAGCACTTTCTTTGCTAAGAGGTACTTTAAGCTGCATGATCAGTATAAATTATAACCTTTGTTCCTATCAAATAGGAACGAAATTTGTCAAATACAAATACTGCTGCAAGTAGCTCCTTCTCAGTTGTGGCATAATTCATTTGAGCTTTATTGAGGGTTCTACTGGTGTAGTAAATAGGCCTGAAAATCTTCTCTCTCTTTTGTCATCGCTCCAACTGCTATATCACTTGCATCACACATTATTTCAAATGGTTCGCTCCAATCAGGAGAAACAACAATTGGAGCATTCGTCAATTGTTTCTTGAGAATCTCAAATGCTTTCCTGCAATTATCTGAAAATTCAAACTTCATAGCTTTCATCAGTAGGTTAGTCAAAGGTTTTGAAATTTTTGAAAAATCTTTTATAAACCTTCTATAAAAACCCGCATGCCCTAAGAAACTTCTAATGCCTTTAACAGTGGCAGGAGGGGGTAATCCTGCTATTAGATCAATTTTAGCCTTATCAACTTCTATTCCTTTAGCATAAATTTTATGTCCTAAAACAATTCCCTCTGTTACCATGAAGTGACATTTTTCCCAATTAAGAATCAAATTTGTCTCTTCACATCTTTTAAGTACCAAAGTCAAATTATAGAGACAATCTTCAAATGTCTTACCAAAAAGTGTGAAATCATCCATAAAGATTTCAAGAAACTTTCAGTCATGTCTGAGAAAATTGCCGACATGCAACGCTGAAATGTAGCAGGAGCATTGCATAGTCCAAATGGCATTCTTCGATAAGCATATGTACCTTGGGGGCATGTGAAAGTAGTTTTCTCTTGATATTCTGGAGCAATTGGTATCTGATTATACCCAGAATATCCGTCAAGAAAATAGTAGAAACTATGTCCTGCAACTCTTTCAAACATTTGGTCAATAAAAGGCAAAGGAATATGGTCTTTTCTTGTGGCTTCATTAAGTCATCTGTAATCAATACAAACTCTCCATCATGTGACTGTTCTAGTAGGTATGAGTTAATTATTTTCATTTTTGATTACTGTCATACCTCCTTTCTTTGGTACTACCTGTACAGGACTTACCCAAGGACTGTTAGATATTGGATAAATGATACATGCTGCTAGAAGTTTCACAACTTCTTTCTTGACGATTTCTTGCATTGTTGGGTTTAGTCTCCTTTGGGGTTGAACTATTGGCTTATAATCATTCTCCATAAGAATCATGTGCATTCAAATAGCTGGACTGATTCCTTTGATATCGGCTATAGTCCACCCTAAGGGTCTTTTGTGTTTTCTCAGGACTTCAATCAGTTTGCTTTCCTGTTCTATAGTCAAAGAAGATAAAATGATTATTGGAAATAATTCAGGTTCAAGAAACACATATTTTAAATGAGAAGGAAGTTCTTTGAGTTCAATTTTTAATGGAACTCTTTGTGAGACTTTCTCATTTTCTGACTCTTTTTCTAGTATTTCAGCTTGTTCTCTAATTATGGGGTTATCATCACTTATGGTACCTTACCTAGCCAAACATCTCTCCAATGAATCAGTAATTAACTGATTATCTTTGTATTCGTCTACAAGGTCATCTAGCAAGTCAATTAAAAACAAGGTGATGATGACTCATCCCCAGAAAATTTCATCATTTTCTGCATGTCAAAAATTACTCTTTCCTCATCAACTCGCAATATTAATTATCCTTGATGAATATCAATAACTGCTCTCCTTGTTGCGAGAAATGGTCTACCTAAAATTAATGGTACCTCAGTATTTTCTTCCATTTCAAGTACTATAAAATCTACTGGGAATACAAATTTGTCAACTCTAACAAGGATATTTTCAATAATTCCTTTTGGTCTCTTAGTACTTTGATCAGCTAATTGAAGAGACACACCAGTATCTTTCATTTCACCAAGTTCTAATTTCTTGAAAATTGAAAAGGGCATTAGATTTATTGAAGCACCTGAATCACATAACGCCTTTTCAAAATGAGCACCTCCCACGGTACAAAGAATTGTAAAACTTCTCGGATCACCAAGTTTCTGAGGGAGCTTATTTTGAAGTATAGCACTACATTTTTCTGTAAGCTTAACCATTGAAATTTCTTCCAATTTTCTTTTACTTTACAAAATTTGCTTAAGAAATTTAGCATATGAACGCATTTGCGTCAAAGCATCTGTGAAAGGTATGTTAATGTAAAGTTGCTTCAAAACATCTAGAAACTTTGAAAATTGTTTGTCAAGCTTTTCTCTTTTTATCTTTTGGGGAAAGGGGAGAGGTACAGAGTAAGGATTTGTTATCAATTCATTTTCTTGTACATTTTTCCCTTTATTCTTTTGTTCTTTTGGAAACTTAGGTTCCATTTTATTCTCACCTTCATTTACCTTTTTCACTTCTTGTGGCTTTCCTTCTTTATCCCCATATGGATCATCAAGAAATTTACCTGATCGTAGAGAGATGGATTTGAGGTGTTCTTTTGGATTTTTCTCAGTGTTGCTTGGTAGAGCACCTTGAATTTGTCCAGACATGAGGGTCGCTAATTGGCTTACCTGAATTTTCAAATTCTTGATAGTTGAATGTTGACTTTCAACCTTCTTGTCAGTAGCCTTAATGAATTTGTACATCATGTCTTCCAGGCTTTGTTGATGAGCTCTTTGAGGTTGCTGCTGATATTGTTGAAAATTTTGTTGCCCTCTATTTTGATTTTGAAAACCATATGGTCCATGTACCTGCTGCTTTTGATTAAAAAATCTTTGAGGATTTTCAGTACCATTAGAATTACTCCACTGAAATCTTGGATGTTTTTGTGCCATGGGACTACCGAATGAGTAATTATTTCTATAACCAATCACATTTACTTGTTCCTCATTTTGTGTTGAAGCTTGGCATTCATGATTCAGATGATTACCTTGACAAACATCACAATTCTCAAGTTGGGATGATGAGTGAGCACCTACCTGAAAAGCCTCCATTTTTTGTGTTAAGGTCGCAATTTGTTGTGTCAATGAATTCAACGCTTCAACTTGATTTACTCCAGTTCTTTTTTTGATAATCATTCTGTATGAAGACCATTGAAAAACATTTTTCGAAATTTTATTAAGCAATTGCATTGCTTCTGTAGTAGTTTTTCCCATTATTGATCCTCCTGATGCTGCATCAATTACATTTCTAGCAGAGGGTTTAAGACCGTGATAGAAAATATATAAAATATCAGGGTCTTGGATACCATGATGTGGGCATTTTATTAACATTGCTGCTAAACTTTTCCATGCCTGGTATACAAATTCAGTATATGTCTACATAAAATTATTGATTTCTTGCTTCAATTTAATTGTTTTTGCAGGTGAAAAATATTTATTAAGAAATTTTTGGGCCATTTGGTCCCATGTTGTAATGGAACCTTTAGGCAGGCTTCGCAGCCATGTTTTGGCTTCACCTTTTAAGGAAAAAGGTAAAAGCCGCACCTGATAGCATCTGTTGTAACTCCATTGTACCTGCAAGTTTTGACTAATTCAAGAAAATCAATTAGATGGGTGTGAGGATCTTCACTTGCATCACCAACAAACTGACATGATTGTTGAATGGTTTGAATCAAGCCTGTGCGGATTTGGCCTTGCTGCAATTGGTGGTCCCCTCACACTTGATTCTCCTTCAAAATAATTTGGCCTTTCATAATCACGGAGTATTCTATCACGTCGTGGTGCCACCTCATCACACTGCTCTTCTACTTGATGTGGTGGAAGTTGGTTATTGAGTTCTTCGTTATCCATTTCCTCTGATGTGAAAATTTGAGATCGTGAGGTTTGTTCTTTTCGCAACAACCATAAGGATTTTTCAATTTCAGGATCGTAATCGACTAGTTCTCTAGAAGAGGAACGGGTCATACACTTTCTGAAATTTCTGCAGAAAAGTTAAAATAATTAGATAAAAAAATCTCAAATTAGTAGTAAAATAATTAATCTGTAGTAGACTTTAGCCAATCCCCGGCAACGGCACCAAAACTTTGACGAGTGTCTAGCGTATATAAAATTCTAACTCGTACTCTGTCAAATAATAGTATAGAAAGATATCGAACCCACAGAGATTGGTTTATCTATTCTACAGACGTTTCTTGTTTTAATTACTATTTGAGAAAATTAGAAAGAGTTGAGTTCTAAATTAACTAACTAAAAATGCATGAATAGAGCAATAGAAAATATTTTATTTTTCACAAATATAATAAAAATGTGTTGGGATCTTAACTTCACTTAATATTTCTATTATATAATAGAATTATTATTCTTCAATTTCTATTTCTCAAGAATGTATAAATGCCTCTCACGATTATAAAAATATATTATTATTTAAGTTAAATAATTAATTGCACTCCTCTAGGTTATACAAATTAATCTTTAAACTAGTAATATTGAAGAACCGGAAATATATGATTGAACTAAAACTCGCTCTTGTTAGTAAGTCCCTTTCGGTTACCCTACTTGTTATAACTGATTATTACACTATTCGCCTCTCTCGATTACAAATAAGTGTAAAATTAATTATAACATAAAAGAGAGATGTTACTGAATAAATATTACTAACATTTATCAATACTACACTTAACTATAATATTTCTTCCGCATCTCTCGATTATAAAATTAATAAACAGTTAATATGTAGTACAAGATAGATAGATGTTATTAAATTAAATAACGTCTAACTGTAAAAGCAGATAAAAGTTAAATAAATTTTAGCTCAATCATGTGAATTTGAAGAATAATATCTACTATTATATAGAAATATTAAGCTCCGTCTTTCTCCCAACACAAGAAAAATTACTCCATACTGGAATTAGTACTAACAATGAAAATATTCTTGTCCATTAAATAAAAAAATAGAAAGAAATATTTAAGAAGAATAATTTTCACTATTTAATTAAAAGCAGGAACTAGAATAATTTCCTACACTGGAATTTATTTAGAAACAACAACTAAACCACTATTGTGATTTACAAAAAAAGATAACTCGATACTTGTGAAAGAAATAAAAGAGAGAAGCTTATTTAACAATTTAGATTCAGACTTCTAGCTCTAAGCTTTCTCTCTACTGCGATGCTCTCCTCTGATTGGGCACCATCTTCTTAAATAAGAAAATTTCATGATGACTTCTCGATTTGGTGCTAGATTTCCATGGCAAATCTAGATTTTGCATTTGCAGATATGAGAATTCGAATTCCCGATTTGGTGCTAGATTTCCGTTGCAAATCTAGATTTTGAATTTGCAGAGATGAGAATTCTGTCATTCTAAGTTTAGATTTCATCATGACAAATCGAGACTTGGTGCATTGTCACGGCAGTAATGAATCATAGCTCGATCCTACACTTCTTTGCTGTATTTTTCTTGAATTTTTTTTTCATGTTGCGCACAACAATTCTTCTATAATTATTCCTGCAAAATAAAGTTAAAAATATGGAGGAAACATGATAATTTATTTATTTTTATGAGAGAAATTATGTGGTTAGCATCTGGTAAAATGCACTTATCAGTTTCTTCGGTGATAAAGCAAATATACCTCCACGCCTCCTCACCTCGATCTCCTTGTATGGAGGCTTTTTCGACCTTAAAGTCGTTATCTATGGAGCAGCCTCCGGGGATAAACTCTTTGAGAGGAGATGCTGGGGTTACTATCGTAAGGGCAACCTTGGTATCTGCGGTCGGGGTAGATATTGAAGGAGCAGTATTTTTAGGCACCGATTTTGAGATTTTGGCTATCTTTATCTGGGAATATGAAGGTTATAAGGCTGATATAAAGATTGACATGAAAATTTGAAGGTCTAGCTTGAAAATTTAAAGACAAAGTATGAAGATCTATAGATTGAAGATGAAGAAATGAAGATGTGAAGAACAATTTGTGAAGATTTGAGAGAATGATGAACAAGTAAAAAATTCGAGGGTAACTCAAGAAGATTCGAAATCAGAAAGTAAAAAGGTGAAAAAAGGAAACTGCAGCTTTTATAGGAGGAAAATAATTAATGTGTGACGTTTCGCATTCGATGCCCACCGGTGATAAGTTGGTATTTTACCCACTTATCTCTTCTTGATACTTAGGCTTTTGTATGATTATGTTGTGAAACTAAGGCATTTATTGAGGTTTATTGGTATATTTCAGGTATCAAGTGATTTAGAAGTGATGGTGAAGAAACCAAGTGAAAACGAGTCAAAAAGAAGCTAAAATGGACAAAGAAAATCTGCCCGGTGAATTACCCTTCGTGAACGCGAAGCATCGGGACAACAAGCCTTCGGGAACGCGAGATACTCTACATGAACACGAAGAAGGAGGAAGCCAACCTTCGCGAACGCAAAGGTATAAACGCGAACGCGATGAAGCAGGAGACAAACCTTCGCAAACACGAAGGAGATATCGCAAACTCGAAAGAAGCAAAAATCAAACCTTCGCGAACGCGAAGTACTGTTCGCGAACGCGAAGAAGAAACTGGGCGGAAAAACTGGACAGTTCTGGAATTTCATAATTTTGACGCCAAACCATTTAATACACGACTTGGCTCATTTGTAATTGGACAATCTTATCTTGGAACATCTTTTGGCTTATTTTCAATGCATATACTAGAGAGGACAAGTTTTGGAAGCTAGGGTTCTTGCACACACACTTGGATTTTGAAGATTTGAAGCTTTTGGTTGAGAATTTCTTACTCCTTTATGCTCATTTCTTCATTTCCTTACTTTGTATTGTATATCTAAGTATGTAGTATTTATTTCCAACACTTGAATCTTGTTTATGAAAATATTCATATTTAAAGTGTGGATTAAATACCTTGTTGTGCTTATGTGTTGAACGATTTTTATTTATTATGAAGCGAGTTGTTGTTTCTTTAATTATTCTTGTTCTTAAATGTTTCCAAAAGGATTAGCTAATCCTAGGACTCGCCCATTCACTTCGGATTAATTTTGAAAAAAATAATTCGGGGTTGGAAAAGATTAATTAACAAGAACTTGAGGAGTTAACCCTCACTTTATAGATTCTACCTAGGGATAGGAATGAACTACTTGTAGCCATATTCGGATGTGCTTAATCTCTTAATTATTTTAGGAATAATTCAATTAGGAAGTCTTGTTAGTCTTTGAGAGAAACTAATATAGAATTATTATCCGAAGCTAATAAATAATAAACTCATTCATATTTATAAAATTGTGAAATATATTAGATCGTTACTTGAGTGTAAATTCCGATGCACCCATGCTTGTAGCCATTGATCATTTTACTTGCTTTCTAGGTTAGTTTACGTTTTCGCATTTAGCTATAATATTTTTTCAACAATCATTCTAAGTGTTTGGCATTGCATAATCAGTGATAATTCTCTTACATTCATAATCGCCTACATATTGTTCTCTGTGGGATTCGACCCCGACTCATAGTTGGGTAAATTATATTGCATGCGACCGTATTCATTTATTTTTTAGTAGTGAATTTGGACGTTATCAACCGGGGATGGTCAAACGACAGCTGACACGTGTCCTAAATCAGAACGACGCGATTGATGGGACGTTTCATTGACTCGTCAACCCGTTTGTGGCGTATGGAGGAAGGAACCGGGGCCAGTTAATCACTTCTCGTGGTTTCTATAAATCTGCTCTCCGAAAAGTGAGGGAACTATATGTGTGCGGGTAAAATCGGGGATAAAGTTATCCCGATTTCCCGGAAAAGAAACGAGAGGACAGCGTGACCCGATATGGCCTCGGGTAATGCCGAGGGCTCGCACATATCAGAGCCCAGGGAGGACGAATGGTGCGCCAAGAATCGGACAACCAAGCATGAGAAGAATTGATCTCGAGCAAAGTAAAGAACCGAGGCTAAGGGAAAGAAAGTTAGACAGAACAAATGAGAGGCCAAAATATCCTCCCTTAACCGGATATTACGGCACAAATGTCACTCGATATCAACTGCCTATCACTATTTACTAGAAGAGAAAGACTTTTACCTTATTTAGACTTGTACTAGGATTGAAAATCCCTTACTATATAAAGGGGAGAACCTTTTATCTTTAAGATTACCATTGGCACGCATACCAAAGCTATAAAGTCAATTTTTGTTCTCTAATTACTATTCAAAGTGTTCTTGTACTGCTTATTTATTTAGTTGCAACTGAGCCCGATTCGAGGGCTTAATCGGAACTAACTTTCAGTGTTCGTCATAAAGCTAGGCCTAATCATCTATCGTGTTCGATTTGATCGTTTTTGTTTTCCTTCAATTCAATTATTTGTTATTTTTAGATCATTCATGTTAAATTAAAGGGGAACTTTCAGAAATGACTACCTTTTAAGAAGATATTTTAACAATCCGTAGCTATATATTATGTATTTATGTTTCGTAGAAAATTTCCTACTGTATAAAGGGGAGAACCTTTTATTTTTAAGATCACTGTTGGCACGCATACCAAAGCTATAAAGTCAATTTTTATTCTCTAATTACTATTCAAAGTGTTCTTGTGATGCTTATTTATTTAGTTGCAACTAAGCTCGATTCGAGGGCTTAATCAGAACCAACTTTCATTGTTCGTCATAAAGCTAGGCCTAATCATCTATCGTGTTCGGTTTGATTATTTTTGTTTTCCTTCAATTTAATTATTTATTGTTCTTAGATCATTCGTGTTAAATTAAAGGGAAGCTTTCAGAAATGACTACCTTTTAAGGAGCTTTTAACAATCCGTAGCTATATATTATGTATTTATGTTTCGTAGCTAGTTTTGGATAATTTGTTGTATTTGAGTGTATACACTGTTAAGCTATATTTTTTATTTTTTTTTGCGTGTATTTGAGTGTATTTGAATACACTATCCAACTGTATCCAACCTTATTTGATGTGGCAAGATTGAATATATTCGACTATATTTGAATATATTTACACTAAAAATGACGAAATGAAGAATACAGTCAAATTCGATCAAATCTCTGACGAAAATACAAATACACTATGTTAAAAAAGAAGAATAAAATCAAAACAATTCAGATCTTGGGAGAAATATATTATACAATTGTATTTACAATAAAAATGAAGAATATATTCAAATCCTGTTAAAAATTAACTATATTTAACTAAAAAATAATGAATACAGTCTGATCTTCCGCGAGAATATAAAATACATTATATTTAAAATGGAGAATGCAATCAAACCGCATCGGATCTCTGGCGAAAATTCAAAATATAATTTAGATCTCTGATGAAAATAAAAAAATACACCGTATTTATACAACGATTTTCCGACGTGAAAGGCAATGAAGAAGAAAGAGGCGACTTCTTTTTCCGGCGTAAAAAGTAGTGGTGGAGGAATAAGTCTCAGGTCAAACGAATACACTCATATGTGAGATACAAATAAGGAGAAGAAGCCATGGATTCTGGCATCTCCGTTAGATCCACATCAGGTGACGCCTCTGATCTTCCTCCTCCATTATTTTCGCCGCCGCTAATAGATTGATCGCAACTTCGTGATTTTAGATCTGGATTTGACGGTGGGTGGCAACAGTATTTAAGGGTGATTCGCGGTGAAGGGGGTATAAGGCGGAGGGTGGTGATGTGTGGGGAAGAGAAAAAGAGGTGGTTGTTTAGTGGGGCTCCGTAGCACTCCGCCGGAGAAGACGGTCGGCGATGACTTCTTTGCTGCCAAGGGAGAAGAGAGAGGGAAAATAGCCTTACTTCTTCTTGAAAGAACCTACTTTGATACTCCGTAGCACTCCGCCGGAGGTGCAGCCATCTCGAATCTTTTTAAGGTATTAGCCTTGCTTGAAAGAACCTACTTTAATACCAATTATTATTTTAGGACGCACCTTGACACAAGAGGGGGAGGACTGAATTGTATTTTGCCAGATTTTTGCATGTTAAAGAACCTGGTTCTTTAACCTAAGAATTTCAGACACAAACATAAAATAAAGTGCAAAAATTAGACAACACAATAAATTTTACGTGGAAAACTTATTTGCTCAAAAGAGTAAAAACCACGACCTATCTTCGCAGGATTTGCCTCAAGATTTTATTAACTTTTAAGAGATATTGTAGATTACAACTCAATAACCCAGGGGACTAATTCTAGTACCTTATCCCGTACAATCAACCCAATTGTAGCTACCTCTTTCAAGACTATAAACTCTAGCCTAGAAAGCTAACCAAATTCTTCAAATTTGATAACCTAATAATAGTATTTTAAAGACGAGAGTGTAAGGTGGAGCGTTTTGCTTATTGCGAGGGGAGGCTTATACCCCGAGACATAAACCATAAGCCCCATGAATTTTTAAATTTTTTATTTATAAATTGATAAAATAGCACAATAACACAAAAATTGACGGTGGCTGGCAATAGTATTTAAGGGTGATTCGCGGTGAAGGGGGTATAAGGCGGAGGGTGGTGATGTGTGGGGAAGAGAGAAAGAGGCGGCTGTTTAGTTGGGCTCTGTAGCACTCTGCCGGAGAAGACGATCGGCGGTGACTTCTCTACTGCCGAGGGAGAAGAGAGAGGAAAAAGGAGAGAGAGTTTAGAGAGAAGAGAGAAATAGGGTTGAGAGAAAAGATTATTCAGTGGAATAACTCTGTGTATTTGGTATCAGCTATGATGGGTAACTTGAAAATTTATTGTAGCTATGAAAAATAATTAAATTAAAAGGTAACTATGATCCATTAATAGCTCTTAGATTTAGCTATGGCAGGTAAATTTTCCTATATTAAATCACATATCTTTTAAACCACGTATAAATTCAATTGTTATTCATTTTAAGGGTAAACAAACCCCAAAGTGAACTATGATAGGATATCTGTTCTCCTACAAGGTATATCTTGACTATCTTTTGAACGCGAGTATGATGTGAAAATATCAACTTCTTAAATAGTTCATTAGGGAACATACTCGAATGCTATGAATGACCTCAAGGTTATTTCGCCTTTAGGGCAATTCCTATTATAAAAAATAGTTCAAAAGTTGGAACTCGTTTGTGAAAAAGTTTAAAGAGAAATTTTGTTGTAGAATAGACTCTAGAGGCTGGACATCAAGTTCTTGTGCTTCAGCATTGCGCCTGCCTACCCTGATGATCCAAGATTGTACACTACTATAGTCTATAGGTGATGACTTGAAGTCCCTTTATCACGAAATTGAAGTGTCAAAAGCTACAGGGGAACTTTCGACTATCCCCAGAGGAATAAGATAAAACCTGCAACAAAGAGAGAAGAGACGAAGTCTGCAAACGTTGTTCAGGCTGTCACGAAGGCACCAGAGAGAAGGTAACTTAAAATCAGGGGACTAATCAATTCTCACCTTTCAACAGACATGAAGAAGCACATGGGTCTTATTTGACTTGAAACTTGTTTCATAAATTGACAATTCAGGATTCTTTCTTTAATTGAATGGAAAGAAAGCAGGTTTGAATGTTGCAATATTCAAGAGACAGATGTTAGAGGTAAGTGCTTGTCTTATTAGATGCAAGTATATGCTTAATACCACAAAAAAGGAAAAAAGAGAAGAAAGATTGATAAGGAAGTTGAAGGCAAAAAGAATCATTCTATTTTTTCTTGCCTCATCATTTAAGCTGCATCAACCTCAAGATAGAAGAGTCATATAAATCAATTTTGAAATTAAAAAAAACTAGCATATTATTCATTACATCATATTCCAAGTTGAAGGGAAATACCAAATACCAACTGACTACTTGAAACAAAGAGAGTTCGGTTTTTCACCCCCACACAGAGGCACAGACTTTACAGCATCTCCTCTCTATGGAACCACAAGCGGCAATTACGTCAAATATTGCTCTAAGATAAATAGCTCCTGCGATTCCATGATCAAACACATATCTTGCTCTGTGATGTTTTCTCGCTAACAAAATTATTTGATATCAACTTCTGTTAATGCTTGGGGCTTTAAAGTTTCTATTCTGCATCTTCAGTCCCCTAGAAGCTTCTGTTTTTTGGATGTGTTCATGTAAGGCCTTATGATCCACTCGGTTTGAGCTTCATCCTGATCCATCGTTCCTAGTTTTATCTACAGAAAGGAAACAAGTAACTTGATCAGACACGACAGATGGAACGCTGATCAAGACTTGCAGCAAAACCAAAAGCTATCACATGATCCTAACAACATAGCACGAAAGCTGTACATTATGTAATTGATATTCAATAAAGAGACGGCACAAGCACTTGGAAACATGCTATGGAAGAAAATCATGCATCTCGATGAGGCCATTATGTTCGACCATATTATACTTTAAAATCATGCATCTCGATGAGGCCATTATGTTCGACCATGTTATACTTTAAAATGGAGAAAATGATCTATTTAGAATCAGAAACTGACAGGCACACAAAAGTTGAACTATACTGTAACAAGTAAATAGTATGAAGCGCTACTATTATCTTACATCAAATCATAAAATCAAATCGGATCTAAATTATAGAACTTTCAGAGATTAGAGGTTGATTATTATTATCTGGCACCAAATCAGAGAGTTGCGAAAAAAGAAATATCAAACTGCAGAAATATTTCACCACTTCTGTTCAGGAAGAAAGCAGGGTATGGTCTTTCCTAACTTCCACCCTCCTCCACAGTATCAATTTCAGGCGCTGAGTCTTTAAGACCAAAACAATGCTGTTAACTAATATGACAAATTTCAAAAACAAGAAAAATCAGAGATTAATAAACTCTATCACTATAGTCTAGTTACTTGACATCCATTATCATGATACAGATACAAGAACCTGCAGCTTCTTTTTTTATCATTCCGAATTTTTCTATAAGGAATATGTAGATATGAAAAATGACAACC